GTAAGAACTGAAGTAAAGGGAAGTATAATCCAAGTCGAGGGTGAAAATATAGAGTTTGTACTCAGCCGATGACCCTATTCTTGAAGACTATAGAAAATTCTCGTTGAAAGCTATGACGACATACCCGAAACGTTTTTGTTTTGCTTTGTTTTGATTGCTTGTTTGTTTTCTTTTTTTCTCTCTTTCTCTTGATTAAAAAAATCTTGTCTCTGATTGATTAATGGGTGATACTTCCCGAAACATCTTTAGTTTGGTATCACGAAAACCACAGGCTAAAGCAGACGTTATTAATGCATGGGTATGTATATATAAACTCCCTGATAGCGCATATGAACACGCATAACCCACTAAAACGGACAAATGGATATTTGCAGGAATAAAAACACTCACATAGGCTTACATATCTATGTGCACGTAGGCTATAGCTCTATAACATAAACATAGACTTAAAAAAAGTACATAGGCCTACATCCTTATCAAACAATACATACCTAGAAAAAAAGGAAAAGTTGTCAAACTTAGCCGAAGATATACAAACCAGGTGTTGCAAGAAAAATCAACAAGCGACCTCGGTGCACTGGCCGTGGGTTATATAGCCTGTAGGTCCATGTAATCCGCCAGCATCCAAATTAATCCTAGTTTGCACGTCAGGTCACTCGAGAATCCATAGGCAGGATTCTTGGCAGTAATAGGATGGCACTTTATTTCTGGTATTTTCGAACACGAGTGAGACCGTCCTGAAATAGGCCTACCTTTCTCCACTAATTTGATCATTAAAGGAAATTAGAAAACTTTTTAGATATCTAGTAGATTTCCTTTGCATGTTATAGCGTATAAAATCGCAATCTGTCTCATATAATTTAAATGGGGCACCTCACCTTTGGGCGGGGAGGCACCCTCAAAAATTCGAAAAAGAAAAATTTTGGACGCTGCGCCGGAACACCCCATTTTTCAAATCCATCTCTGAATGACATTAAAAATCTAGAAAATAGTAATATATATACCTTTTTTTTAATCCGATCTTAAAGAAATTGAAAATTCTGGATGGCAATATTGGTAAAAAAAATATATATTCATATAATACTATCATACATGAAACTTACCAGAGTTGCCGAATTTGCCCTTCGCTCCAAACAGGGAGGGGAGGGGGGTTGGCCACTGGGTGATTATAAACTGGGAGGGGAGGGGGGAGTTGGTCACTGGGTGGTTATAAAAAGGGTAAGTCTGATATGCGAAATTGAGCCCCGCCCGAGACTTATTCTTTTTATCCTCCATGAGGGGAGCTACAACATATTACCAGGAAGTCCCAAAGCAAGCCGTAATTCATGAGTAAACATACCCTAACGCGTAATGTTATATGCGATTTTTTTCTTTTCTATTCGAATAATTTTTATTATAAATCAGTATGATTTCATCAAATGTATTCATATGCAGCATTTAAACATTTGTTAGACACTCAAGAAGTGATATTAGAATGCAATGTCGTTTTTAAAAGCCGCGTGTATGTTTGGTACAAGCAAAAGTAGGTAGGTAGAAGGACGGATATCCCGTGCCAGCCCATGCTTTTGGAGCATAACGCTTAATCTTTCATTTTTGGTCACACGTATTTTATATATAGGATACTTATCAATTAATGTCTAGGCTACATATTACCAGGAAGTCCTAAAGCAAGCTGTAATTCAAGAGTAAATTTATACCCAAACGCGTAATGTTACATGCGATTTTTTATCATTTCATTATAAATCAATGCGATTCCATCAAATGTATTCATATGTAGTATCTAAACATTCGCTAGATATTCACGAACTGATATTGGCATGTAATGTCGTTTTTAAACGCCGCGTGTATGTTTGGTACAAGAAAAAGTAGATCTATGTGTGTCGTAGACACTCGAAGGCTTAGTCGTCATCACGCGAACAACACGAGGGCGAAGCGGATGCTACATGAACGGGTAAAACAAACAAGGATGAAACGCCAAAAATAGAATAACATCGCGAAGATTCGAAGTGGATTCCATACAAAAAACACTGTCAAGAAGACAAGACTCAGATGCAAAATACAGAAGCGCCCTATGACTCAAAGTGGCGATATCATCATGTGACAGATGGTGACACCACGTGATGGACCAACAGAAGCAAAAAAGAAATCACGAGTGCGAAACATCAAGCAGTTTTAATCGATCGCAATAAAGATCATAGTAAATCAGTTTGGGAACAAGAAATGAACTCGGGTGGCGGGTAGAAAATCTTAGAAGTGATAAATAGTGTTAAAAATATGATTGGATACAGAAAAGTCCTTATTCGGGTATATTTCCAATTTTAAGAAATAATTAAGTGATAACCAGCAAGGGCGTGACTGGATGAGCTCCATATCGAAAAAAAAGGGACGCTTAGTGTCGGAGAATGTGGATTAGGTTTCGGAGTAGCGTCCAGTAGCCATGTTCCTCTCGAAAAGCCCGTTTGAAGTATTTTAGTGTACCCTTGTGATTGAACATATAGGGCAGGAATTAGAAATGGAAGACAGTAACAAGGGAGTGCTATTCTGGAATATAGTTAGGATTAGGAAGAAAATTAAGATTTTTATGAGCATGTAATGAAACAACTTGATTGTTAGATTTAACTAGTGCTGTGGCAATATTGTGTTAATAGTTAATGGTAAAATCAAATAAATGTACTAGACATCAAGGTCATATATAAATACTGTGATAGATATAATTTGTTTATTAACAGTCAATTAGTTTATAAGTGTGATTAAATAATTAAGTGCTTTCTAAGATTGACAGCTCAGCGGAAATGTGTAAACAGTGACGAGTCCTGTTATTTTCCGACGGAACGTAAGATTGATTTTTTGTCTATCAAGTATTTGCTTTTGTCATGATTATTACTTTTATCTGCTTGATGTTTGATTCATATATTCACTTAGAAATACAACTTCATTAGGGTTTGCTATAATCAACTATTTGTTTTTCTTATGTTTTATAATATTTAATTCATGAAGATATAACGTAGTTTTGAATATTGTTGGTTTTGTTTTCATAAAGTTTCATGATTGATAATTATATAACAGTCATAAGTGTATATTTGTATTTATAGAGTTAAGAACTCAAATATAATCTTATCTATTTTTTGTTTCACGTAAAGTTTGGTATTGTAATTTTATAATATTGCATTGATAATATTCAGTTAATAAATGTATTGATTTCTTTTACAAAGATTAAACTGCACTAAATAATAATATTAATATTGACACTTTGAAATTATTGATTAATCATTTAAAGTTATACTATAATTAATTAGTACATTTAAACGTTTACTGATCTAACGCAATATGTCCTGATAATGAAAAGCATTTAATAAAATGTGGAATAGGGGGCCACAACATGTGTAGGTAGGTAGAAGGGCGGAAATCCTGTTTCGCGTTATCGCGCTTATGCCCCCGTTACACCAAGAAATAACCCGAGGAAGTGTCTAATATTATATATTTCTCTCTCTCTCTCTCTCTCTCTTTCTCTCTCTCTCTCTCTCTCTCTCTCTCTCTCTCTCTCTCTCTCTCTCTCTCTCTCTCTCTCTCTCTCTCTAATAAGTAGTCTTCCCTGTTGAAACTGTTACATCATCTTGCTAAAACTTGACTGGTATTTGCATTATGAAATTTCCAATTACCCAGTTATCGCGCTTATGCCCCCGTTACACCAAGAAATAACCCGAGGAAGTGTCTAATATTATATATTTCTCTCTCTCTCTCTCTCTCTCTCTCTCTCTCTCTCTCTCTCTCTCTCTCTCTCTCTCTCTCTCTCTCTCTCTCTCTCTCTCCTCTCTCTCTCTCTCTCTCTCTCTCTCTCTCTAATAAGTAGTCTTCCCTGTTGAAACTGTTACATCATCTTGCTAAAACTTGGCTGGTATTTGCATTATGAAATTTCCAATTACCCAGTTTTACAACTTTATTATTTCTATGCATTTGCTTATACTTATTTATTCATAGAAGTAATCCCAACAGATATATAAAAATTAGCTACGAACTTAAGAACCAATACATTAACAAAATCTGTTTAAGAGAGAAAGAGAAAAAAAATCACAACTTCTATTGCGTCAGCAAAGACACGCACGCATACAGTCACCTCACAGCAAATGATTCGAACTGAAATACCGATCATCACGAGGGTTATATATAGTGCTATAGGCCTGGTCCCATTTTCTACGTCAGTCACAGCGAGTCCGTTATGGTGTGATCATCATGCAAGTGGAGTTCGAGAGCGCCCTGCTATATATGATCCCTGTGACCGCAGCCACCGGGATGGTGATGTCATAGCTGCCCTGTGGAAGGAGGTTACAGCTGGACTGAAGTGTACAGGTAAGACAACAGTTTTATTCACTATGAACTATACACAAGGCTATGAATTGTACATAATCTTTATTTACTATGAACTAAACATTAGGTTTATTCGCCATGAAATATACATTACTAGATCATTCGGTCTTGCCACTCAAGAGCTCCTCTGGGGAAACAAAATATTTTTTCAAGAGATCACGAACTGCCATAGTTTCTGTTGTAGGCCTTGTGCTTCCTGTTGCTGTCAGGTTTGAGTTTGAATAATTGGATTGTGTTGCATCACGAACATCATCACTTGGAGAGTAGTTGAAATTGAAGTACACCATTTTTTTTTTTTTTTTTTTGCTAACATTCCAAATGCACATTCTGCTTTTCTTCTAGCCCTGCTGATCCGATAGTTATATACTTTTTTGGAGTAGTCTTTTATAATTATTGAAAAGTGATCCTCCTCCAGTCGGACTTTTCGGTCGACAGTTTTTGCCGTCAATATTCCCAATACAGCTAGGAATATTACATTTTTCGAAAAATGCTCTGGTTATTTCTTCCCACTGGTGTGCATTAGGTACTGGCAAATACTGTGGTTGTACTGTTTCCCATATGGCATTACTGGTTTCCTTGACAATCTTGTGTTCTGTGGCCCTACCAACACGAAACTGGTAACCAAGGGAAGCAAA